CGCAAGTTTAAATATTTTAGTCGACTTCGTTTTACGTGAAGGACTAATATTGTTATTACAATCATTATGTCTTATGTGGGAAGACAACATACCTTGGCATCAGCTACCACAGCTGACTGTTCAGTGGAGTTGGAAGAAGAGTTTGGACCGGTATCCATTACGAAGCTTGAGGTTTGTAAAGAAAAATATACGCCTTTTGTTATTTCATTGTATTCATATTTATGTAGGTCAATGGGATATCAAATAATGATATTAAACGATTGCAGGAAGCTGGATTTCATACAGTAGAATCTATAGCATTTTCACCAAAGAAACTTTTGTTGCAAATTCGAGGATTTTCCGATGCAAAAGCGGATAAAATTCTAACTGAAGCTATTAAACTTGTCCCAATGGGTTTCACAACTGCCACTTCTATTTATCAAAAGCGTTCAGAGATAGTCATGTTGACGACTGGCTCAAAAGAGCTTGATAAGTTACTGGGCGGGGGCATCGAAACGGGTTCAATAACCGAAATGTTTGGAGAATTCCGTAGTGGTAAGACGCAGTTGTGTCATACATTAGCTGTGACTTGTCAATTGCCAATAAGTCAGAATGGTGGCGAGGGTAAATGCCTTTATATTGATACAGAAGGAACATTTCGGCCGGAACGTTTGACCGCAATTGCCGAACGCTTCAAACTTGTAAAAGAAGAGGTGAAGTTTTGAAGAAATATTAATGTAATAGTGCTTTTACAATTGGTAATATTATGTATATTCAAGGTTTTGGACAACGTGGCCTGCGCACGCGCCTATAACACAGATCATCAAACGCAATTACTGACACAGGCTGCAGCTATGATGGTGGAATCACGGTGAGTTTAAAATACATTTGGATGCTTAAATGAAAAAATCTAAATTTATTTTATTAGGTATGCACTTTTAGTAGTTGATAGTGCAACAGCACTTTACCGCACAGATTATACAGGTCGTGGTGAGTTGTCAGCACGCCAGATGCACCTTGCACGATTTCTGCGCCTTTTGTTGCGATTAGCAGATGAGGTATTCAACATTAGTAAATTCATGTGTTCATATTTTAGTATATATANCAGCACGCCAGATGCACCTTGCACGATTTCTGCGCCTTTTGTTGCGATTAGCAGATGAGGTATTCAACATTAGTAAATTCATGTGTTCATATTTTAGTATATATATTAATTTTTAGTTTGGTGTCGCTGTAATCATAACGAATCAGGTGGTCGCCAATGTAGATACTGGACCTGCCATGTTCGCAGCAGATACCAAGAAGCCCATTGGCGGCAACATTATCGCGCATGCCTCCACGACGAGACTTTATTTCCGAAAAGGACGCGGGGAAACGCGGATTTGCAAAATATATGATTCACCATGCCTACCCGAGAGTGAAGCTACATTTGCAATATTACCCGATGGAATCGGCGATGCAAAAGAATAGAGCAAATGAATGCGTTCTTGAATAGGCTAAGTTAATCAATTTAAGAAAGTATATTAGATATTATGTTTACCTATTAGTAATAAAAACAAGGACACGATGATATGCACAAATTAAAAGCATTGGCGTTTGAATTTTTGCATTCTACGTATACTTGGAATTTTACGGATATGAATAGATTTATTGTATGTATGTACTGCTGAAAATGACCAACTAGAAATGTATGTGCATTCGCAGCGTTTAAATTTATACAAACTAATTCGATCGCTTATAAGTGTTCATGAGCCATGTATGTACATATGGGACATAGATAGTTTGGTTGGTGTTCTTGTTTCACAAATGCAGATAACCAGTAAACAAAAATCAAATTGAATCGTGTTAAGTGATGCAATTTTAGTAGAAAAAATAGTCTATACACGTGTATATCGTATTCGTTATTCGAAATTGTTGTTGGTTTTTGTAGCACACANTTGGAATTTTACGGATATGAATAGATTTATTGTATGTATGTACTGCTGAAAATGACCAACTAGAAATGTATGTGCATTCGCAGCGTTTAAATTTATACAAACTAATTCGATCGCTTATAAGTGTTCATGAGCCATGTATGTACATATGGGACATAGTTTGGTTGGTGTTCTTGTTTCACAAATGCAGATAACCAGTAAACAAAATTCAAATTGAATCGTGTTAAGTGATGCAATTTTAGTAGAAAAAATAGTCTATACACGTGTATATCGTACTCGTTATTCGAAATTGTATTAACAAAATTTTCTAGTTATCAGAAAACAGTAAAAAAGAAACCCTATGAAGGGGTCAATTGAAAAGGTCGGACCTTGTGAAACAGTACATTCCTAGGCATACCGTTAGTTTAGATTGACGTCGATTGAAGAATTGACCTATTCTAGGTCGCTGCAACCGCCTCATGTTGGTTTTTTGTAGCACACTAATTTTTTTTTATATCAGCCCTATCGCCGATTTCGAGTGAATATTTCTTTCCCATAATTAAACATGCAAAACAAAAACAAATTGGGAAAAATTGTTTTTGTTTTGCTTTATAATTTTTGGGAATATGTGAAATTCGCGATAGGGCCGATATATTTATTGCTTTTGTTAGAAGTAAATGTACAAACGGTAAACATTACAACAAATTTTTTATTTAGAAGAGTCCAGACATTTACCTGTAAGCAAAAGCTAAGGCAATATTTTATTTTTATTATATTTTTTTTTTTGTAATTTTTGCAAAAAGTAGGCTTTGTGCTTCCTGACAAATGGTAAATTTTGGGTTAAAACACTTTCCAAAAACAAGTGCGAATTTAAACGAAAAATACTTTATATTTATTGTACACACCTCGTAATGGATTTGCATAAACACAATATAANACCTGCCATGTTCGCAGCAGATACCAAGAAACCCATTGGCGGCAACATTATCGCTCATGCCTCCACGACGAGACTTTATTTCCGAAAAGGACGCGGGGAAACGCGGATTTGCAAAATATATGATTCACCATGCCTACCCGAGAGTGAAGCTACATTTGCAATATTACCCGATGGAATCGGCGATGCAAAAGAATAGAGCAAATGAATGCGTTCTTGAATAGGCTAAGTTAATCAATTTAAGAAAGTATATTAGATATTATGTTTAACTATTAGTAATAAAAACAAGGACACGATGATATGCACAAATTAAAAGCATTGGCGTTTGAATTTTTGCATTCTACGTATACGTGGAATTTTACGGATATGAATAGATTTATTGTATGTATGTACTGCTGAAAATGACCAACTAGAAATGTATGTGCATTCGCAGCGTTTAAATTTATACAAACTAATTCGATCGCTTATAAGTGTTCATGAGCCATGTATGTACATATGGGACATAGATAGTTTGGTTGGTGTTCTTGTTTCACAAATGCAGATAACCAGTAAACAAAAATCAAATTGAATCGTGTTAAGTGATGCAATTTTAGTAGAAAAAATAGTCTATACACGTGTATATCGTATTCGTTATTCGAAATTGTTGTTGGTTTTTGTAGCACACAAATTTTTTTTTATATCAGCCCTATCGCCGATTTCGAGTGAATATTTCTTTCCCATAATTAAACATGCAAAACAAAAACAAATTGGGAAAAATTGTTTTTGTTTGCTTTATAATTTTTGGGAATATGTGAAATTCGCGATAGGGCCGATATATTTATTGCTTTTGTTAGAAGTAAATGTACAAACGGTAAACATTACAACAAATTTTTTATTTAGAAGAGTCCAGACATTTACCTGTAAGCAAAAGCTAAGGCAATATTTTATTTTTTATTTTTANATATATGATTCACCATGCCTACCCGAGAGTGAAGCTACATTTGCAATATTGCCCGATGGAATCGGCGATGCAAAAGAATAGAGCAAATGAATGCGTTCTTGAATAGGCTAAGTTGATCAATTTAAGATCGTATATTAGATATTATGTTTAACTATTAGTAATAAAAACAAGGACACGATGATATGCACAAATTAAAAGCATTGGCGTTTGAATTTTTGCATTCTACGTATACTTGGAATTTTACGGATATGAATAGATTTATTGTATGTATGTACTGCTGAAAATGACCAACTAGAAATGTATGTGCATTCGCAGCGTTTAAATTTATACAAACTAATTCGATCGCTTATAAGTGTTCATGAGCCATGTATGTACATATGGGACATAGATAGTTTGGTTGGTGTTCTTGTTTCACAAATGCAGATAACCAGTAAACAAAATTCAAATTGAATCGTGTTAAGTGATGCAATTTTAGTAGAAAAAATAGTCTATACACGTGTATATCGTACTCGTTATTCGAAATTGTATTAACAAAATTTTCTAGTTATCAGAAAACAGTAAAAAAGAAACCCTATGAAGGGGTCAATTGAAAAGGTCGGACCTTGTGAAACAGTACATTCCTAGGCATACCGTTAGTTTAGATTGACGTCGATTGAAGAATTGACCTATTCTAGGTCGCTGCAACCGCCTCATGTTGGTTTTTTGTAGCACACAAATTTTTTTTTATATCAGCCCTATCGCCGATTTCGAGTGAATATTTCTTTCCCATAATTAAACATGCAAAACAAAAACAAATTGGGAAAAATTGTTTTTGTTTGCTTTATAATTTTTGGGAATATGTGAAATTCGCGATAGGGCCGATATATTTATTGCTTTTGTTAGAAGTAAATGTACAAACGGTAAACATTACAACAAATTTTTTATTTAGAAGAGTCCAGACATTTACCTGTAAGCAAAAGCTAAGGCAATATTTTATTTTTATTATATTTTTTTTTTTGTAATTTTTGCAAAAAGTAGGCTTTGTGCTTCCTGACAAATGGTAAATTTTGGGTTAAAACACTTTCCAAAAACAAGTGCGAATTTAAACGAAAAATACTTTATATTTATTGTACACACCTCGTAATGGATTTGGCATAAACACAATATAAAAAAAAACAATATACAAATATGTATATACATACATATGTATGTATATCAATTATACCAGTAGCATGTTTTCTGTTTAGTTAATCAGTACCTAAGCATACATACATTAAACATATATATGTATATAAACTCGTGTTTTGGTATTTGTTTTTTACATATTCTGTGCCACCATGGAATTAGTAACGCAAAGTTTGAAAATTGAAGCCAATAAATCGTGTAATTTCTTTGAATATTTGACTTTTTTAAGGAGAGATTTAGGATTCCACGCGCGTTTCAAGTACGTTGCTTTCAGCGATGACGAGGGAATCTTCCGTACCCAATTCAGCATTGTCTTCCATCATTCCTGATCCTTGTTTCTGACTTTCCATCGTTATGCCCGATTCTTCGTTCAAGTGTTCCTTCTCAACATTACTTTTTGACCCTATTTCTTTATTTTCTGAGTTTTTCTCATCTCTATTGCGATTAGCACAAATATTCATATACGCTTTCTCACTCATTGTGATGCGATTTTGCTCACTAATATGTTTCGTGCATTCTTTGTACGTTTTTACTTGATCACAGAAAGGTTCCCAAAACTGCTGATCGCCTGAAATTTTAAACAGTTTTTTAAAGTAGTTGTATATAATAACTGCTTCGTTGCGTATGGTTTCCGCCTTGGCTTTGAATTCAATTTCTTCGTCGGCGCTCAGTGACCATTCTTTCAAATTTCCAACATAGCGGCGTAAGCGCCTTATGATGTCCACACAATCTGGATTACGTAACAACATTAACTGTGTTAATTCGAAATCTTTATATTGCTTGAGTAGGTCCACACAACGATTTACGTCAGCACTTTTCAATCCCAAGCTTTCACGCAATTGCTGTGATATTTGTATAAAGTCGCGCTCAACGAAAAGCGCATCCTCCTGCTCTATCATCTGATTGGTGAATCTATTTGCAGCATCTTGATGAATCTTTGCTCGAGGAGGATTTATGATCACACGATCCTTTACAGCTTCTAGTTTAATTTGGCCAATCTCTAGCTTCTCCTTTAATTCTTCAGCATCTTTTCGAGCTTTCTCTTCCCATTTAGTTCGCTCAGCCGTACTTGGAAATGACTCCGGTTTTCCGAAGTCCAACTTGATGCCAACACATTTGGCTGGCGGCACAAAAGCTAGTAATAAATTGTTAAATAATTCACTCTTATTGCCGCCAGAGGGCTTAACGGTGGGCGTAATGGTAGCTGTTGGCTTAGAGGAGCTGCCCGATTTCTTGGCAGATTTTTTCGCATCAGAAGATACACCTGGAAATATTAATTATTAAATTATTTTCATATTTCCTTTTTTAAATAAGTTCTTAATATAGAATATGTAGTTAGTACTTAATGAATCCAAATTTGCAAAATAATAGTTGCGTTCCCTAAAAGGCCGTTCGCACCAGGCGATTCAACTTTTGGGTTCAACTCACGTAGGTTTGCTCGAAAAAAAATTTAATGGCTAAGGCAATGGAGTGCACTAAACCGTTTGCTGGAGCAGCTTCGATTGCAAAGCAATCGAGTGCACTAACGTTCACTATTCTGTAAGAGATTAGTTGCGTTCGATAACAAAATTAGCCAACACCAGCCAACAATCAAAATCAAGAGAGTAAGCGAAAACTCTCCCAAAGAGATGAAAGGGCAAAAAACGAACGAACGAACAGGAAATTAGCCATTACTTGCAAAAACCGGAAAAAGAGACACACCAGCTGACTTTGTTTATGATTTTATTTGTAAACAAACTGAAATTCATCTTGCCTCCATAGAAGAAAAAGGAAAGTGAACGTTCAATGTTCGCCAGGAACATTTTTAGAAGTAAAAACTAGTTGGCGCTATCATAAAGTCATATAGCAGGCAGCCAGAAAGCATATAAATACCAAAACTCGAAAAATGCAATTTTGTTTGTTTACAAAAATTGCAACCATATGTTTTGTGATCATATGTTTTCGTGTTGGATAATTTTTAGGTGCAATCCCGTATTCCTCGGACTCGGACTAGTAAAACTGTCAAAAAATCAAGATTTGCTCAGAGCGAGAGAGTAACATTGAAAAGTACGGGATCGCTTTCTAGTAAAAAATGGCAACTTCTGTAACTTCAACATAACCTCCAAATTTAGGTTGTACATTTTTGCTTATTTTGTATGTAAACACACTCAGTCACACATGTAAATAACCAAAAATACTTTCAAATTCATTAGAATCCAGTTAAACAAGTAATTAAACACTTTTCATCATGAATTAGCAGAGTGCACTTTTCTTTTGTTTACAATTTGGTTGCCAAACACACTACAGCTGATCGTTTGACACATTTACCAGAATTTACCAGCAAAAAATTCTCGGACTAAAACTGGTTACCAGTGACAGAGAGAGAACCGTATTTACTCCCTTTTTTGTCCTCTCAAT